GAGATCATCGGATTTTATTACCCGAGAAGAAAGTTCTAATTTCACTAATTTTTTATGCATATATAGTAGAATAGAATCAGATATCAACTTTTAATTGAAACGATGAAGTCTCTTGTTCCACCTTGGGATTTTTAAAGAAAATCCACACCGTGCCATTATTCAGCGGGAGAACACTTTTTACTTCCCTTCAGTTCTTATTTCTACGATGAAATCCAGATCTTGAAAAATACAGGGTATACTAGCCTATCTGCAGATCCTTTCATTTACAGATATATATACCGGATTTTTTATTTACTTTTTTAAATTCAAGACTTATGACTTTTTTTCGTGATTTCGCTTTTCCGTTCTTTGTATTCGTTTCAATGTGACGATAGTTGGAAATTAAAATCTAATTTACCTCATTTGAGTTCCTTTTTATCTTGATAAGAAGCAAAATATTATGCATTTCAAACTCTTTTTATATCGAAAACATTGCGAATGCGACAAAAATAGATATCAACGAAAACGAAGCATCAAGCCATTTCTCGAGTCTTTTCATGACGAGATTCAAGATCGGAGCATGTGTTCTCCGCGTTTTTTTTATTCTTGTTGTTTTCCTTCGAAAATCATAAGTTCCCTTCTTTCCGTGCCTCTCAAATATTTATGTTGTTTGTTTGTTGGCGAATCAGCAAGCCGTCGCGTCGGCTGTCTCACGGCGCGAGAAGAGAGAACCAACGTAAGTCGGAATCGGCGACGTGATTGTTGAGATTTTCAAGCATCAATAGTAGAGAAAAGGTGATAATATGCTCTTCTATCTTATTTTTTATTTTTTATTTTTTAGTTATATTCCAGCCAATGATATCGCAAATTTATTAATCTAAGTTTAAAATACAAAATACACTTGAAATAATAAACATAATTTATAATATGGGAAAAATTGTTTAAATTTTTATTTAAAAAGAGATTATGATGACTATCTGAATGTGATGGTAAAATGGATTCTCTCCATATTTTTACAGAATATGATACTTCAAGTCTATTAGGACATGAAGTCCAAATAGCTTGAATTCATAAAAAATTCTGAATATAATGAGATATTGTCATATTCAGAAGTTTCTTTTTATGAATACATTCTTTTAATAATACTCTTGAGATTTTATCTTCGTGGATGTTAACTATATAAGCACTTTTTCCTCTTACAAATACCTCTAAGGACTTAAAATCATTTTAAAATTATAACTACCAAGATTTTTTAACGAAAAATAACGCTCTGCAATGTTTTTTGTAAAAAATTGTAAAGCCTACATTATCCACTTATTAGGGGCCTGAATATAGAAACATTGACAAAATTTATGTTTAATTATGTTCCGACAAAATATAATTATTTAAGCTTATTTTCTCAAAATAAAAAAACAGCACTTTAAGAATTAATTTAGAACACACACATAAATTTGTTATTTACAAAACTACTTTAAATCACGTTAAACTTGACATTAAAGATAATGCGAAAGGACTTTTATACCTCGTAATATAAACATCAATTGTCAACAAAAAGGTCACACCAGACGTGACAGCAACGGTTTCACAACTTTAGCCATCTCCCTCTAAGAACAAGTTAGTAACAAGTAAAAAACCTTTTATAGTAATATTAATAAATAATATTAAGCTCCGTCAAGTGGGATTTTTAAAAACATTATTAATATTTTGATTTTGGATAAATTTAAATGTGTAAAAAATAAGTAAAATATAATCTAACTTTTATGATGATAAAAACTCATTGTTGAAATGTGTTATTCTTTACTTGACTGGTATAAGAATTTTTTCAGATTTTTATATAATATAGAACACTGAAAAATTTGCTTCGAAGACTTTTTATTACTGATGGAAGAGTTAAAATTCATGTTAATCATAATAGAATTTTAAGTAGGGTCCAAATTACCACTTTTTCCTCTACTAGTAACAGTTGTTCTGTTGCGCTCCATGCGAAGACGAAAAGAGGGACATGAGATATATGCACCATTTTTTGCCAACCCTTCAGCAATTAAATTACACGTGGCCCGTGCCGAGAACAGAAAGCAAGAGAAGAAAAAGATTCTCGCGTCGCGCCGCGTCGCGTCGTTGGATACTTGCTCGGCTCCATTTGCGAAATTAGAGATCTATTCGTCCACGAGAGATGGCAATCGCTCTTGGGGAGCAAAGGTGACGCGGCACAATGGTGACGCGTCAATCTCTCACCCTCTGCTTGCCCGCCTTCCCTTCAGAAGCCACCTTCATTCTCCCTTTTTGACCTCCCGTCCGTTTCTTCTTTCCTGTGTGGACCTGTCCTACTTTCTTTTCCCATCTTTTCTCATTTGTGTGAGAATTCATCACCGAAACTCGCGTTAATGTTGGTCGAAACTTTGGTCCATTGAATTTTCGTTCCTTTTTTCCGTTTGCACGGGAAATCCTAAATTGATAAAAAGATGACCTTTCATCTAACAAACTTGTTCAATTAATATGAAAAATAGCAGAATTACTACTACTGTAACCGAATGAGCGATATAGGCCGTTGCATATCTTTAGTCAGACAGTAGAAGAAAAAGTTTGAACACAGAAGTGGTTATTCCGTGTCCACGTATTATCATTGTGTATCGGGAGACGATTTTGGTACGCGAGAAAAAACATGGCGTCTATTTTTCTCTCTTGGTCGCGCGTATGCGCTTCCGAGTCTCTTTCCGATCTCGAGAGATGCTTGCTTAGAATAATCCGTGATCTTTTATCGATTGTAGCCGTGTCGCGAAGGGATGCGAGGGATGGGACAGGATTGTGGACCGGGTCAATAACCACTCCTCGTCAAATTTTTCAGCAAAGTAATTTTATTTTTCTCAAGTCTCTCCTCCAAACTCTCTCTTTCTTCCATTAACTCAAGATATACACAAGACCGTCGTTTCGCTCTTCGCCTCGTCGAGCTCGCGACGTTATTTACAGGACACCGTGCCAACCGTCCGGCGAGGTGCGTAATAAATAACGATAATAATAATAATAGACTAATAATAATCGTAATAATCGTAATAGTACTAAAGACGGCGACAGTAATAGTGGTGTCCCTTATTCGCAGCTATAATGATAATGCTAATTTACAAATCGAAAAATCAAGCTCTCTTTTTCTTCGCGATGCTCTGACGCGGAATCTCGCGCGTATCCTCTTTATAATATCTATATTCTTTATAATATCTCTATATATATATATGCATATATATATATATATTAAATCCTGTCTATATATCGTTTCTCCGTAGGTATTATTTACAAAATTTACGGGTCTAATCTCTAATCTATTTACAACCATAGAGTGCGCCCGGCCGCCGTGCCTGCACAACCGTCGAATAAGGCCCCGCGCGTCTGCCCTGTTTTCCTTCGCGTCACGCTTCCTCGTTTTCCTTTCTCTTACACGTCAAGCGTTCCTCCGATTTGTTAGTTTGTTGGGGGTTGCGCGGGCACGGCTCCGAAGTAACAAAATAAATACTGACTAGCCCGTTCTGGCGTCTCCGCGTCGAGCGGCGGCAACGAACGAACGAATGAACGAACGAACGGACACCCATTGATGAGTGAAAGCTCACGTGACTCGAACGTTTAAAATTGACAAAGCAATCAATAATAAATCAATAGAAATTTCTTCTCTGTACGCGAGAATAATTTACAAACGGTTTCCTCTGCGAGAGATTTGGATGCATCGATAAATGACGAGAATAAATGCTTATTTCTGTTATCGTGTGTATAAAGTAGTGTATTGTACTTCTTTCTTACAGGAATAAGCATTCGAACAATTATCACGATTGTCTTCAAGTATTTTAATATCTTCCTCTGACATTCGGATTACAAGACGCTTTCCTTTAGCAACTAGCCATCGTATAATTATGTAATAGTGAATCAATTTTTTAAGCATAGTGCGTGTAGAATAGCTTTTCTTTTCTAACTACCATTTCTCTAGAAATGTGAAAAAACTAGCTACAATCTTTTCGAAGCCAGTGAGGAAGCATCGTGTGATCTGAATTTCTCAGAACTTTCTCAGCTAAGAGCCCAAAACTAACGTTAATAAATAGCGTTAAGTCAAATTAGTCAGTATTCAAATAACGTGAACTGTTATAGCATTTTCATTTCTAGCGTTTACTAGAAATCTGTATAAAAATTGAATGTGCGAATACTGACAGTTATGCTGCTCTTATCGCAATTTATTAAAGCTCCTTTGTCTCATGATTGCTTCAGACTACAGTATATTAAAGCTTAGGAGAAAGATTACAAACTAAATGTTAAATTAGAAATCGGCAGCACACACTCTTGCAGAGGAAACAAAGAAGTTCGAATCACGAAGCACACACAGCCTTAGTGTCAATGTCAATGGAATACCTGGTGGTCTCTGTCCGTTCGCCGGAATCCGCAGGGCGCCAGATAATCTACGACGATAACCTTACACAGAGACGCAGCTGCGTCCCTTTCACGCTACGCTATCGCGTCGCGTCGCCTCATGTCGCGTCACGTCACGTCACGTCACTTCACGTCGTGTCACATCACGGCCGCGGAACAGGAAGATAGCACACGACGCTCGGTAATCGAATGTCGCTCGGTCGATCCTTGGTCGACGCGCGATACTCATGAAGATATGTTGGAGCTTCCGCCTCGGGTTACGCGTTTGGGATTCTCCTTGGGATAGAACCGGCTAGAGATCCTCAAGTAAGGGATTGGACATTGTTTAGACAACTTCTGATTGATCCGTCATATTTTTCAGGACCCACTTAGAATGATATGCGTGAATGCGCATCTCATTTTACCTTAAGCAGATATTGAAAAATATGGTAGATCAAAGGTATGATGTTCAATTTCTTACTCGAAGATCTCTAGAACCGACTGTGCCTCTACGTCGCCACGAGACTGTCGATCGACGGCCAGGACGGCACGTGTCACGTGTTCTGGATGTGCAAGTAGACGTCCTCCGGCTGACTGAGGAGGTGGTGTATCTGCTGCATGGTGCAGAGCGGACAGACCTCCTCCTCGGTGCCATCGGCGACGAGCCTCTTGGCGGCGCCGGGCGCCCTTCTGCTGTAATCGATGATGTACGAGTAGCCATCAGAATCGATTGAGCTCGATCTCAAAGTCATCGATCGCAACAGCCGCCTGCTGTTGATGGGAGGATTCGCGGTCTCTGTACGACCGTATCTCGTGGATTCTATATCCGAGTCTTTGAAGTCTATATAGGAATAACCCTCGGAGTCTACCGAGAGCCGTCTGCGGTCTTCCTCTCGGACCGTGAGCCTCGGTACCGCAACGAGGCTCGCCGAACCGTTTGGGCTCGACGGTGTTCGAGCGGGAGAGGCGCGCAGTCCAGGTCGATGGGTGGGAGTGATGGGGATACCGGAATCACGGGGCCTCGCGGGAACTCGTACGTCGGCCGAATAGCCGCCGTCGGCGGTCAAGCTGACATCGAGGTTTCGACACGATGGAAATTCTCCGCGGGAAAGCATAGGTGAGGGTGGAGTAGGAGGAGGTGAGGGAGGCCGCTGGCTCGTGATCAAGGCGTTCTGCGTAGCTAGCAGCAGGTGGCTGTCTCGCAGGAGGTTGCTTTCGTTCCGCAACAATAATGGACTATTCGCGCCAGTACCGGCCGGAAGTCGAGCAGTGGACGACTGGGCGGTGGCGGTGATCGACAGAGGTACCCCCTGCGACTTGGCTAAAAGGGCGCGCGGTGTCCGGTAGCCGCCCAGGACCGCCCGCGACGGCTTGTCCTGGACACGTAGTATCGACCTGGGGTCGCGATAGTCGAGATAGTCGAGATGATGCGGCTGCGGCGG